TAATTTAGAAAAAATCGTATGATCTCGATATATATATACATATATATATACATATATATATATATATACACATATATATATAGCATTTCTTTCAAAAGTTAGTTAGAAATAAATCCATTTGTTATTTAAGTATGACTCCAAAAATATTTTTTCAGTTTGAATATGCTCTAATTGTAGTAATAATATTAAGAGGGAAATATTGATAAATACATGCAAAATTATTATATCATGTCTTTTTGTTGTTGAATAAAATATAAATTTTTTAGCATCAATCACAACCCAAGAATTTACTCTCATTTCGTGAAGCAAATGTGGTATCTTATGATAATTATAAGTGTGAATATGGTTATGATTATGGTTATAATACTACTTAATATCATGGTGGTTACAATTTTAAGAAATATGGAAATAGTGAAGAAAAGCACAAAACTTGGGATTATAAAAAAAACCAACAATCACATTCATACTTTTATTGCGATGTAGGATTTGAAGGGTTACAAGTGCATAATTGAATTTCATTGAAGCAACATTATGATGGACATATGCACATGTGATACATAGTTTGATTTTAAATTTGGATATCTTATTTCTGTTTCGAAAAGAATGGGAAAAGAAGTTCGAATATTTGAGAATTCAAAAGTACATGCTAATATGGGATATTATTGATTAAATAGGAGAAAATTTTTAAAAGCAAATATACTCAACAAAATAAAAATTTATTTCTAATAAATAGAGTTCTGTGAATGCATTTGTGATATGGATGAGTATTTTTATAATAATATCTTGATATGAAGAATTTATATCTTAAATTGTGAGATTCACATTGATCTCATATATAAATATCTTTTAATATAGGGATTTTGTATGGATGGAAAAATCAATATTATTACTTACTAAATTTTGCTATCATTAAAGCTAAAAAATTTTAAAAAACTAAAATTTTATTAATATTTAGATAATTTTTCTATTTATTAGTTGATTTTAATCTTTTCTTCTTTAAATTTAATTTCAAATTGCAACCTTATTTGGATATTTCAATATTTTCTTCTTTAAATTAGAGTTGTAATTATTTATTTACTTTTTATTGTTAGCTAACAAAATTAAAACTAGATAAATTAAAATTAAAATTATTGCCTACAAGATAGACAAAATTGAAAAATCTTATTTAAAACTAATTTGAATCTTATATGAAAAAACCCTTTTAGATTAAATCACGAATCTGAAATTAAAACTTCACATTATTAAATTTTCAATTTAAATTCATAATTAATCTCATTATATTAACTTTCTAAATTTTAAATTAATAAATCAATAAAACTTATATTTAATACTAATAAAATTTTTTTGCCATTAAGGCCCCAAATACATTAATTCAGCCCTAAATATTGAAATGAGATTGATTTTGTTTTTAATGGAAGAAATTTTTTTTTATTAATGTTTATGTATCTCTTCTATATATCAAAAGATTTTAAACTTTTCTTTTTTAAATTTAATTTAAAATTGTGGATCTGATTTGGAGATTTCAATATTTTGTTCTTTAAATTAGAATGGTGATTATCCATTTACTGCTCATTGTTAGTAAAAAAACTGAAAACTAAATGAATTTAAATTAGAATAATTACTTTATTCACAAGATAAACAAAATTAAAAATCCTGCTTAAATCTAATTTGAATCTTGTATAACAAAAACTCCTTTAGATTAGGTCATTTATTTGAAATTATATATAACTTCACTTTAATAAATTTTTAATTTAAATTTACAATTAATCTCATCATCTTATCCTTCTAAATTTCAACATTATACAAGTCTTTTCCAAAGTTAAATTGTTGGTTGTGTAATTTTTCTCCTAAGGAAGAATGCTCCAATTACTCAATCCTCCATAGAACAAAAGATGAACAAAATTAGTAAGTATAAATTTAGAGCAAAATTCCTTGCATAGTAGGGCAGGAACCAATAGTATTTTGAAAAAAAGGTGTCCCTATTATTGTTAGTAATAAGGTCAATGATGAAAAGCTGAAATTATGTAAGCATTGCTATTATATAATGAAGGTATAATGATGCCTAAGTGATTAACAAAATGTGGTATTCATGCACTCTAATTACACAAAAGGTATAATGGTGTAATAGGACTCGTATGCCACTTTCCATTGTTGACTCAATGTACTCCAAGAGGGTGGGTGAATTGGAGTTCCAAAAATTCTCCCCTTTTGCAACCACAAAACCAAAATTAAAGAGAGTAGAGAAGAAGAGCTTGCTCAATGATTTTATAGAGGTTCAGTCCAACCATTTGGAACCTAATCCTTTACCTTGGCTTCACTCACCAAGGATTTCCTCCACACTCTCCACTAAGAAAACAAGGGTGGCTTAAAGGAGCCACTCAATCCTTTTACAAGAAGATGAGTATTTCTCTCAAACCTCACCCCTTTACAATAAAAACTCCAAGAATCCTCTCTATAGATCACTCTTGAAGGATTAATCACACCCCCAAGATCACTCACAAATAGAACAAGAAGAGGATTACAAGTAAAGATCTCTCAAAGATAAAAAAACTCAAGTTAAAGCACATGTAGATAGGTAAAGATATTCAATGCAATGCTCTCTAAACCTCTTTCAGATCTTCTACCAACCATATTTATAACCCTATGGTCGAAAATAGCTGTTACTAGCCATTGAGGGTCATTTAATGCTCTATAGGTTGCTTAATTTGAGTTGTAGAATTGTCAGCACAGTCGGCTTACCTTTCTGGAGCCAACTTTGCATAGCCGGCTTAACCTTTCAACAGCCGGCTCTGTAGGTTTCTTGCATTATATTTTTTCTGCATATCCAACTTAAAAATTCTACAGCCGGCTTTGCGAGTTTCCTACACATTCCGCTTTCTTCCACAGCTGGCTGCAAAGTTTAAAGTCGGCTTTGGGATTCCAACTTTAAAAACATTAAATAATCTTCAAATCACTCTACCGTTGTGCATTAAATGCACTCTCATAGTCGGCTGCAAAGTCAAAGTTGGTTTTGCATCTGTTTTTCGCACGCGCCAAACAATGGACTTAAAAGTTTTACCTATAGAGTCGACTGCAGTTTCCAGAGCCGACTCTCTACACATTTTCAAGCCTTTTGGTCCATTTTTAGTGCAGTCCAAGTTTATTTACTTTGCAATCTTTTGATATTTTAACTACACACTTAAATGAACCAATTAGTCACTTAAATGTGTTTTGTAATCATCAAAATCATAGGTACAACAATCTCCCCCTTTCTGATGATAGCGAAACACTTTGAAAATAAATTAATGAAAGTACATATATATTTCAATGAGAGCTTATATGGAAACAGAAATTTCAGCATACTTTCTCCCCCTTTTTGTCATCCATCAAAAAGCATATAAGCATAATCAACAAATTCCTTCTTAATTAATGCAAACAACCTTTAAAGCATCAAAAATATGTGATTTAAGCACAATATTCACAAATTACTCCCCCTCAATGAAAGCACTTAAGATCATAATCATCAAAATCATAGGCAATCATAAAGTCATATACAATTAAAATTCATAATTCATGATAATAAGCTAAGAAATGTGCATACATAATGAGGGCAAATTTTGGGAGAGAATCAAATCTTGAATGTGAAGAGAGGAAAATGGCCAAATATTAGAAATCTATCACAATCAAGAGGCTTTGTAGTAAACAAAGATGTCTCATTCCAAGCAACTATGAAAGTCAAAAAATTCCTTCTCTCCTTTTTGTTATCCAACAAAAAAGTTTGAAGACCATATGAAGAGCAAACAATAGAGCTCCCCCTTAATAAAATGACTCATGAAAACATTAACATACTTATATAACAATCTCATTAGTAGCACCAAAAACAATGTTAATGTCATCATTAAGTACAACATATATATTTCTTACCCTTGAGATATATTATCATTTATCACATTACCTTTATAAGATCTCTCTTTTGGGTAGAATTATAACCTTTGTTTTTGTGCTTGTTGCATCTCCTCAATCTTGTGCTTTGCACTTGCTTCACATGGAGGTTGTGTGATACTATTGCCTTCAATGTTCATTCTTATCTTTGTTACCCAATAACATTTACATTACAATTTCACAACTCTTTCTAGAGCAAATGGGGTTAATCTCATTAAATACTACATGAATAGATTCAACACTATTACTCCTTTTTATATGCACTGTATCATATGATAGCAAATATCAAAAATTTTATTCATTGAAATCAACCATGACTATGCAAGCATTAAAGTGCATGACATACACGGGCACATACTCAAATATCATCAAAATCATCCATCAAAAAGCAAACATGCAAATTTCCTAATATACTTAACTTCCAAGTGTAAGACTCTTCCTAAGATCATGCTTAACTTCCAAGTGCTATCATTAAAATTATGAAAATAATGAGACAAGTAAATTTGAATGAGACAAACAATGTAAAGTAAGACAAGTTATTAAAATTACTCATTTAAATCAAATCATCAACCATCTTCAAAGTGACACATATGACATTGAAAATCACTTATACCATCAAGAGCTCATTATAAACTATACATGATAGATAACCAATCTAATCATTCACATATGTCAAGTATGTAAATATGATACAAGCAATATCTATAGCAATCAACAAGGTTGTATCAACACTAGAAAAGACACATCAAATGAAATTATACTCAACAAGCATATGTATCAAAGAGTGAGCACACATAAACAAATAATTAATAGTCATGTTAATGTAATTATACTCAATGAATAAATGCAATAAGATAAATAATACCAATTAAGCACATGAGTGGGGCATTCAAAAAAAAAAATTTTTTCTTTGCACTTTCACTCCAACATTCTTGTTGAGGCATAAGTCTTTATCAAGATCAATTTTGCTCTTCTTATGACTTTGCCATCAACTTTACCTATAAAACAAAATTAAGTTTTGATTTTTGGTACCCAAATTTGCTTGGATCCATGGGGGTTAGTACTTAAGGTTCCTTTTGGATCCCAAATTTGCTTTACTTTGCCTTGAGCTATCAATCTCTTCAAAGGACATACATAAGCAAAGTGCCCCTTTGCACCTCAACAATAGCAAATAACTTTAGAATGAGAGAAATGACTTGCCCTCACAAAGAAGTTCTTAAAAGTCTTTTACTTTTTAGAATAATCAAATCCAATACCTCCTTTGTCATAAACACTTCTTTGAGATTTTAAGATAGAATCAAAATTTTCTTTACTTAAGGTAAATTTGGAAATCACATTTTCAAGATCACAAACTTTTCTCTTTAAATCCTCATTTTCCTTTTTCAAAGCATTATTAGACTCCTCATTCTTTAAAGAAGCAATCTCACCATTTAAAGAGGCATTCTCTTTAACTAAAACCTCATTTTGTTTTGAGAGAGATTCAATCTCATTCCTAAGCAATGAAATGGTTTTAGTAAGAGCAATAATCTCATTTCCTAGTTTCTTAATGTCATTCATAGAGCAATCAAGAACTTTGCATAAATCATCACAAGAATATTCAAATGAACTTTCATTAATTGAACTAGAGAAGTTAGAGTTTACCTCTTCATCATGGTTGCTATCCTCTTGAGCCATAAAGCAAAGATTTGCAACACCTTTCTTCAAGGAGCTTTCACTTTCTGTTGAGCTAGTCTCATCATCACTCCAAGTGGCGGCAAAAGCTTTCTTCTTTATGCTCTTCTTGCCTTTCTTCTCACCCGTCTTCAATTTGGGACCTTCATTTTTATAATGCCCCATCTTGTTGCACTCATAGCATTTCACACTCCTTTTGGTAGACTCTCCGTCATCTCTCTTTGCAAGCTTGCTCTTAATGTTCTTCTTCATGAATCTCCTCACTTCTCTAGAGATCAAGGTGAAGATGTTTTCACCATCACTAGCATCATCTTCACTCTTTTCCTTTTGGTTGCTAGCCTTGAATGCAACATACTTCTTCTTCTTCTCAACTACTTCAACTCCACCATCAACTTGAACTTCTATCTCATATGTCATCAAATTTCCAATAAGATCTTCAAGCTTGAGGGTGTTGAGATCCTTAGACTCTTCAATTACAATCTTCTTGGCTTCCCAATTCTTAGCCAAGCTTTTAAGAACCTTCCTCACCACTTCTTGAGAAGGATAAACTTTACCAAGAGCCTTGAGATTGGTGACTATATCATTCAATCTTGTATACATATCTTGAATGCTCTCTTCCGGTTTCATCTTGAAAAGCTCATACATGTAAATGAGTCTATTGATTTTTGACTCCTTCGTTTGACTTGTTCCTTCATGTGTTACCTCCAACATGTCCCACATCTCCTTGGCCATATCACATCCGAATACTCTATGGAATTCTATTGGATTAAGAGCACATTGAAGCATGTTGATTGCTTTGTTGTTGATCATGATCTTCCCCAAGTCTTCATCATTTCATTCAACTTCTTCCTTTGGCACCTCTCTTTCTCCAACAACTTTCATAGGTACATATAGACCTTTCATGGTCACAATCCATGCCTTGGGCACATTTGCAAGCATGAAGACCTTCATCCTATTCTTCCAATAATTATAATTAGTACCATGAAAGAAAGGAGGCTTAGTGGTAGACAAACCTTCAAGTGGTTAAGAAGCTTGAAATTGAGTCATCCTTGATCAACTCCTAGGTGGTTAAAGCTTCAAATTGGAGCCATTGCTCAGATACCAATTGTTAACTCAATGTACTCCAAGAGGGGGGGTGAATTGGAGTTCCAAAAATTCTCCCCTTTTGCAACCACAAAACCAAAATTAAAGAGAGTAGAGAAGAAGAGCTTGCTCAATGATTTTACAGAGGTTCGGTCCAACCACTTGGAACGTAGTCCTCTACCTTGGCTTCACTCACCAAGTATTTCCTCCACACTTTCCACTGAGAAAACAAGGGTAGCTTAAAGGAGCCACTCAATCCTTTTACAAGAAGATGAGTATTTCTCTCAAACCTCACCCCTTTATAATATAAACCCCAAGAATCTTCTCTATAGATCACTCTTGAAGGATTAATCACACCCACAAGATCACTCACAAATAGAACAAGAAGAGGATTACAAGTAAATATCTCTCAAAGATAAAAAACTCAAGTTAAAGCACATGTAGGTAGGTAAAGATATTCAATGCAATGCTCTCTAAACCTCCTTCAGATCTTCTACCAATCATATTTATAACCCCATGGTCGAAAATAGTCATTACTAGCTGTTAGGGGTCATTTAATGCTTTATAGGTCGCTTAATTCAAGTTGCAGAATTGTCAGCACAGCCGGCTTACCTTTCTGGAGCCAGCTCTGCATAGTCGACTTAACTTTTCTACAACCAGCTCTGCAAGTTTCCTGCATTCTATTTTTTCTGTAGAGGTAGCTTAAAAATTTTGTAGCCGGCTTTGCGGGTTTCCTGCACATTCTGTTTTCTTCCACAACTGGCTGCAAAGTCTAAAGCCGGCTTTGGGATTCCAACTTTAAAAACATTAAATAATCTTCAAATCACTCAACTATTGTGCATTAAATGCGCTCTCACAGCCGGTTGCAAAGTCAAAGCCAGCTTTGCGTCTGTTTTTTGCGTGCACCAAACGACAGAATTGAAAGTTTTACTCGTAGAGTCGGCTGCAACTTCCAGAGCCGGTTGCAACTTCCAAAGCCGGCTCTCTGCACTTCTACAGCCGGCTGCAAGTTTCAACAACTGGCTCTCTACACATTTTCAAGCCTTTTGGTCCATTTTTAGTGCAGTCCAAGTTTACTTACATTGCAATATTTTGACATTTTAACTACACACTTAAATGAACCAATTAGTTACTCAAATCTGTTTTGTAATTATCAAAATCATAGGTACAACATCCATTTGCAAAAAGGGTATGCATGATGAGAGATTCCTAATCTCTCTCTCTCTCTCTATATATATATAATAAAGCAGAAACCCTTCAAAACCATTCAAGGTAAGTATGCTGTGTATCACTTTTATAAACCTTCCTTAATATACTTTTTTGCTGCCACATGTCAATATTTTCTTTATTTAATAAATCTACCATTTTATTTTAGTTTTTCTTCTCCCCTTATCAATTAATTTCAGCCTAACATTTTTACCATCCTTCATTAAATTTAATTTTAGCCTAGCATGCACTCTTCTTTTTCGTTCCCCCAACTAACTAATCAAACTTTACTTACAATTTTTTATTTAAAAGATATATTTGCTAATTTATGATGATTTTAATTTTTTAAAAAAATTCTACTATGGTATGTCTATCATATTTTTTTATTATTTAATGAACATTTAATTTTAAATCTTATATAAAAAAAATACTTTAACAAAATACATTATAAGTATATCAAGAATTCTTAGAATGTTTATAATACCCTTTTATGATGTAATAGTTAAAATATTAAATTTTTATCAATTAATATTAATTAAATAAATTACTATAAAACTAGCTTTTGTTTTGCCCGTGCGTTGCACGGG